GGACGCTGGCTCAGAAGCCCCTACCTCTGGGCCAGGAACAGTGGGACTCAGTACCTTGGTCTGGTGGTCTGGTGTCCTCTGCGTCTTTGTAGTGTGGAATCAAGTGGCTGCCTGTCTGCAGCGGGGTGATTCGGTGTCTTCCGCGTGACTCAGGACCTCGGTAGGGCGTGCACAGACCTGCCTGTCTGCAGTGGGCTGATTTGGCATGTCCTCACTGCTATAATTTCTATAAAGAAGTTTTTAATGCCCTTTGTGCTACTTTTTCATTTTTCATTGATAACAGTTAATCTTAGATTAGTCTTCTTTACATCATCTAGCAGCTGCTGGATCAATTTTTCATAGTCCCTTGCTTGTTTTACGGGTATCTCTTATTAGTTAAACACGAACCACAGCCCTGCCTTGTAGATCTGATATTCTGCCTTCACACTTGTCTATTCTGCTGTGTATGGTTTCAACAGTAGTTTTAATCTCCAGGACTTCTCTTTGAGAGTGTTTTATGGACACCATCTCTTTTTTATGTTGGACATTTATGGTTGCCATGCCATTTATAACACCTCTATTTCTTCATCAGTATCTTCTTTAAACTCATTTGTTTTACTAGGGTCATTGTCACTTTGTCTGTACAATTACGTCTGCTTTGAATTTGCCAAGGTTCTTATTGATCTGTTCTGTTACTTCCACTGCTACATTTTCAGATATTTCAGCTGTGTGGATAAAATTAATGGTGTTCTGCTAAGAACAACAAGGTGAATCCTAAGCATGACCATGAGTCAAAGAAGTCTTCAGAGTACATACTTTTTATATAATGATAAAAACTGAAGGAAATTATTCCTTAGTGGTACAAGTTACAGTGGTTTCTTTGCCGGGGAGGAGAGCACAGAGATTGGTGAGATTTTTAGGTCACAACGGAGGGAACTGCTAACATTCTGTTTGCTGATCTGGGTAAAGGTAACTAACAGCTCTACATTATATACATTGTTCTCTATGAATTGTGATTAAATAATATTTATTTTAAAATATTTCCTTGAATATTATTTGCCTTGACCTGAATGCTTCATGACAACTGAGAAGACCATGGCACTATAGAGTTCTTCAGTCTGCTCTCCCTGCAGTCCACAGTGAGGGCAGCTTCCCCCGGAGCCGAGCCCTGCCCCCTGAGCCCTCTCACCTGAGCAAACCACAGAGGCCGCATTCCCAGGGGCGCAGGCAGGGACGCCCAGGGCTCTCACGTGGCAGCTCCATAGGGAGGACTCAGCCCCCGAGGAGTGGAATCGGTCTGTCCGGATCTCACCGTCTCCTCCTCCCACAGAGCGTGCTCCCGTCAGGGTGGAGAGGGTGACCTCACAGCCCAGCTGGCAGCACACGACCTGGATATTGGCCACACTCCAGGGGGAGGCGCAGAGCGCTCTCCAGCCCGCAACAGTGCTCACCTCCACCTGCCCCGCACACTGAGAGGGGCTGGGCCTCCTGAGCCGGACTGCAGTGAGCTCTGGGGGAGAGGACCGAGTTTCTGCAGCTTCTCACACGTTAGTACCCCAACTGAGTAGTCAAAAAGAAAAGTCCTCTTGTGTCTCACCTGAGCAGACAAGTTCAACAACCCCACCATGCTGGCAGCTGCCTCCAGGACAGGGCGCTCTGGGGCAGAACCAGAGCTCGGGCTCCTGCCCCTCACACCGGAACGCTTCAGCCCACACCGGTCCAGCGTCCTCTCTGAGGGGCAGGTCCCCCAGGACAGACGCAGCCTCACCGCACCCCAGCTCTGCACAGATGACCTGGGCAGTGGGCACCGTGAAGTTCACGCCGGACACTGTAGTTCATGCTCCTCCAGGGTTCACTTCCACTAGGCCAGAGCAGGGCCCGAGTCTTCCAGCCAGGCACACAAATCCTAAGGGAGAAACACACACACACACACACACACACACACACACACACACCAAATAAGTATTTACAGACAAATTCAGAAGGAATTTATAGGTTCAGTTCAGAAAAAACATTTCATAAAGACTTATTCTATGTTTTAAAGTGGTCGTTTTCTGTCTTCTTTTATAATGTCTATATACAATGAATATGCATTCAATGAAGATCTAGACTTTTTTTTAACTTTTTCACAATTTCTTTATTTGTGGTTCTGGGGATTGAATCCTGGGTTTTCACATTGGCAACATTAAGAGCCACTCCATTCACCTCGCCTTTGTTAGACAGGTTCTTCCTATGTGGCTAAATTGGTTAGGCTGTTATCAAACCTCATGATTTATATTTACTTACTGGTTGGGAGGAGAGAAAGGCATGCTAAATAGACTACAGCCCAAACTAGATTATAAACACTAAAGTCCTGGGATTCCTCACATCCTTCTTCCCATTAAAGAAGACAGAAATTGTAGGTGGTGGTTCAGAAGTGACGACGACACTGGAGCATGCTTGTGTGCTTATTTTAGGTTTTGTTTTGTTTTTTCCTTTGAAGAATTGCTTTATTACTGATGAGTGGAATTTGAGAAGCCAGGAGACACCTAGTGAAGATCATCAGATCCAGTTTCCAGTCTGGATGCAGAGCCCTGCAGAGGCATTGGACAAGGGCTCTGAGACTGGGTGATAGGATTTGTAGTGATGACGCTCAGAAGGGATTGTCTTTCTTAAGAGAAAAGCACGTGCAGTAATGCTTTGTTACCAAGTGTGACACCACAGTGGGATGAATGGAAAAAGCACTGATTTTTTTCTTAATCTGGTGACTTTAGATCTTCTATTTAGACCTGCTCCTGTTTCTCTCTGACGTTGATGCATAAAATGAAGTCTGGATCCCTCAGTGATCTCTCTAAGGACATTTCAAGTTAGACTGTGATACGACAGAGCACTGATAATGCACCTTGCATGGAGAGTCAGAACATAGGGTTTCCAAAATGACAAACTGAAATGATTTATCTTTAGGGCCTAAGGGCTTTAAAGGGGTGAGATCTGGAGTGCATCCTGGAAATCAGCCATCAGTAACTGTGGGCAGGGACAGGGACAGTACTGATCCTGCTCCCTCCTCCCAACCAGAGCAGAAACCCTTCACAGTGAATTCTGGACAGAGACTCTGCTGACCCCACCCAGGCTGACTGACCAGCCCTGCGACCAGGGAGAGGGAAAATGAGGGCAGCATCTCACACAGTGCCCGTCCTGGAAATTACCTCCCCAAAGGAAGAGATATTTGACAGAAATTAGGACTATTCTACTGAACTTATGAAAATAATAGGAACGATGTGGAAACTAGGTTAAAACAGTTACCACATTTTTCAAATTTGAAAATTTCTTGCTCTATCAATGAAAAGATAGTTTCAAAAGATTTTGTAGAAGGAAAACATATATTTTATACAAAAGAATTCAGTTTTCAAGTTGGTACTAATTCTCTTTAATTCTTGATGAGATTTTAGTATTCACAAGGAGAAATGTGTGTGAAAATTACAAGGATATTTATAAAATACAGGTTTGTTTTAAGGGGATAGGATATGCATGAGATACTTAAGCAGGACAAGAACTATGTGACAACAGGCAGAGTGCATTGAAGCAGGATATAAATACAGACTCAAAGTCCTGTGTGTTTATGTGAATTTATCCACGTATCTATATATACACACAAGAAGTTAGTATTTAAGATTCAGAACATATGGTAGATTTTTATAGTCCTAAAAAAACTGAGGTATAGTTTTAAAGGTAACAAAATCAGGCACCTACTTGATATTGCTTTCCATTGTGTAAATTTTACAAAAGTTCAATCTATAAATGTCAAGTGAATCATACAACATGAAGAAAAAATTTATTTGAAAAATGACACAGTGAATCTACAGAAGGCCTGTTATACAACTTTTCTGTAGACATAAATCTTTTGGTATGTCATCTGATCGGGTCACAAATTCCCACATTGATGAAGATCTTTCACTTCTGTAATGTAATAGAAATATTCTTATTCTTTTGGGGGGGAAGCCATACATTTTTGATCTAAAAAAATAATGTTATTGTCTCGGAGTCTGGAGGATAAAAAATGGACCTGAAACTGTCGGCAAGATGGGTTCCTGCTCTGAAGGGTCCAGGGGAGCATCATCCTTTCCTCCTCCTCCTGCTGCTGGCGCTGACGTCCTGGGGGTGTCCTGGCTTGTGGATGCAGCACTTCCGTCCCTGCCTCTGTCTTCCTGTGGCTGTTGTCTCTGTGTCTGTTTCTGTGTCTCTTCTCCTCTTCTAAGGACAGCAGTCACGTTGGGTCAGGGCATCAGTGAGAGGCTTTAGAAAATGATTCCGAATTCAATATAAACAGTAAATAAAGATGTGCACCATGTCAAGTCCATTCCACTGTGCGGAGTAAGGATTCTGCTCCATCTGAGATATTTCAGTGCAGATTAATGAGTCCTCTGCTCTGACACCTCACAGAGGACAAAGAAGCCTCACAGTCTAATCACCTGTCCCACAGCAGTTTCCAATTTTGTCCTGCTTCAGACTTCTGAGTGCTGGGATTACAGACAGGAGACACCATGCCTGCCTTCAGAGCATTTTCTACTAGGAGAGAAGTTTACTTTAGTGAACATGCAGTGATTAAAAACAACAACAAAGAAGCAAAGAAAATAAGTGACTTTTTTTGCTTTTTACCTTGGTTACGTGTTCTTTCAATTGTGACAACTAAATGCAAATGGACAGTACATGGTAAGAACATTTTCCCATCTGCAGAAGCTGGGATTGCTGGTAAGAAGTAAAGTTCCACTAATTTCTCAACTCCATGAATGTAGTCATGAGAGGTAAAACAGAATTTGGGCTCTCCAGAGCCATCTATATTAGTATGAAAAGTACCATCTATATTTCTATCTCTGACTGGAGCCATCTACATATTCCTTGAAGGACATAAGCAGAGTTGCTGCACACACCAGGGCCATGGCAGAGCCCATGTGGCGCTGACCTGCAGCTCCTCCTGACCTTGAGCTGACACAGCAGGCAGAATGGGTGCATTTGCAGGAGAAGACTGGGCTCCCACTGCCGGCCGCTGTCCAGCCCCTTGTGCTTTCTGTAAACCAGTCTGCCTGGCCTGACAGAAATGATGTGCATATATATATTTATTCCTAAGGAATAGCAGGGGAAGGAATTTTACCAAAACCATTGAGTGTACTTTTCTTTTTCTTTTTTTTAACTTTTTGGTATCAGGGATCAAACTCGGGTCCTTGTGCTTGTGGGGCCGGCGGCGGAATCACTGAGCTAAATCCCCTGGCTGAATGTACTTTTAATGCATTTAATCATATTGTACAGAAACTCCAACAGAACAGATTACAAGAGTTAAAAGGAACAACAAACCCTATATATTGAAATTCCATCATGTACTCTAGGGAATGAATTCAGATTTCTGTCTCATGAACTAGAACAGATTGAAATATACCATCGTTTCTGTCAAGAAAGAGAAGGCCTTCAGACCTAGGCCAGAAGCGACATGATACTTTTCCAGGGTCTGAAAAGTTTGAAGTACTGAGACTCCAAGGGCTGGATGTACCTGGTGTGTGTTTGGTACATGACAGGGAGAAGTGCTTCGGTACCTACTCTTGGAGTGGCTGAAAGGTGGACAGATAAAAGATCTGGAGCTGATTTCTTACTAAGCAAATAAGGCACTGTGACATTCTGTTGTTTATCCTAAACATATTCTCAGTGTCACCCCTTCCTCAAACTCTCTCTTCATATCTTTATTCTGCAATGTCATAAATATCATCTGGGAGTGGTCTATTTTAATGTAACGAAAGGTCACCATGCTGTAGAAACTACCAATAACACTTGGGATGCTCAAAAAATTTGTCCTTATTTTATAATAGAGAGGACAAAGTTGGGAAATTATGAGACTTGTTCCAGATTACAGCGTGTGAGATGTAGTGCCTGGTGTCCATTTTATGCCTCCCAGTGGCAGCTCTGCATTCCAGGTGACTTAAGAACTCTTCCTTAAGGCTCACGGTTTAGTATGGATATGAATCACATCACACACTCCTAGGTGCTCCCTCCCACAAAGGACCTCCATTTTCCAAACAGAGTTCACATTTGAGAACACCAACTGGAGTCACAGGAGCGATGCAGGGCCCAGACTTTCAGGAAGTTGCTCTTTCTATACCTGGGCCTGAGCCTGGGAGAGCCTCAATTCTTCACAGGTCATCTTTCACATGGGGCTCTTTTGGTCAGAGACAATGTCACCTTTCAACTGTGCTCATTATTTGAGCTTTAATGCTGTGTTTTCCAGGTAAGTAAGGAGGAGCAGGTTGATTTTCATCATGTTTAACAAGATCACACTTCTTGTTCTTCACCTGTGATCAGGATTGTCTTCTCTAACCTGTCCATATTTGTAACTCTTATTCACCCTGTTAATTCTTGGTTTCTCTTCTTATAACATTTCTTGCTGCACATACATGTTTCCTCGTCCATCACTTCTGGTTCATATTATTCTATCCTGGACAGAGCACTTTGTTGACTGAGAGGCTAGGAGTGTTTCCATCAGATGTGGTTCTAGAGGACTCAGAGATCCACAAAGATCCAAGTAAATTTCTTGAAGAACAAACTTGCTCTGTACCATTTACTTCAACTTCCTGTCACTTCTGAAAGCAAGAGGGACTTAAAGACCTTCTATCAAGGCACAGCAAGGAGTATGAATGGTCACAAAAGGACAAAGAATGAGTAAAAACAGCCTATATTTAGGGAAAAAAATAAAACAGGAGAGAGGGCTTCAAAGGAGGTATAACTAAGCTTTTTGCACAGATCTGATAATTAGGAGAAAGGTATTTGAAGACAATGATGAGGTTCCATTTCCATGCTATTATATTCAGTTCTTCAATATCTTTTCAGAGTTTCCGAATGTTGACAAGTGCCAGAAATATAAGAACAGGGAAAAAATGACACATTGTTGTGGGAAAATTACCTCTTGGGGAGAAAAAAATCAAGCAAACCCTTCTAACCCACTTGCATCTTTAAAAGAGAATTGGGTAAACAAAAAAATTATCTCTGGAAAAAGCTATTGATTTATGTGACTCAATCTCACTTAAAGTAAAATGAAACTTGCTGTCAGAGTTATCCTTGCCTGGTCTTGTTATACAGAACCGTGGCGTCTTTGGGTAAGTATCTCAGTAAGACCTCATCACAGACCTTTTCTCCTACCGTTCTGACCTGTTCAATTCCTCAGTGCTGAGTCACTCTTACAAATCCTTCTCCCTCCTGAAAACTGTATGTACAGAATTCACACAAATGTGCCTATAATATTTTCCATACTACATGTGGGTTCTCAGCGCTGCTCACAGAATCCTTACATTCACTTTGTGTGTGCCTGCTGCCAACCCAAGATCTAATATTGGCTTTTACCCAAATCTGCAAAAATTACATTTGTCCATTTGTTCCCATTATTATCAAATAATTCTCAAAGTCAATTTCTCATATATCACTGAAGTCATCCTGTAGAATCTATGTTATTTCTTGTACTACTACACATTAAGATTTTATTGCATCTCATATTGACCTGCCAGCACATGGCTGCATATTGCTCCCACATGTGAATTTTTAAATTTACTGTTAGAAGAAACATGAAGAAAGAATGCTTTTAGTAATGACAGAAGAAAATTTGACTCAGAATATCTACCTTTGGGTTGGGGACTAGGCTAAGCAACTCAGACCTTATAGTCTTGAGGTTGGTGTTATCTTGCCTTGGGCAGATGGAAATATTTGGGAAGCCAATGCCTCTTGCCATGGGCAGAATACTGATAACCTAGTACTCCTGAGACAAGACAGCATCTGCTGAAGCAATTGTCAGTACAGAGGCATTTGGGTGTAGAGAAAATCTGGTTTCTCATTAACTTCATCCTTATGCACCCATTCTGTATAGTTGCTGTTCCATAAAATGCATGGTACCCCTCCCCCTGTACTTCTCACTGGCTAATAAAAGCGGGCCAACCATGCATGGAGTTTTATTCGAGTCTGTCCACTAGAGGCAAGTCTCCTCCTGGCCTCCCCTTTACGTCTTTAAAATTGTCTCTGTCTTTCTTTGATTCCCGTCATTTTTCCCAAAAGGTAGCTGAGGATCTGATCTGCCCTTGGTAACTGGCACCCCTGAAACACAGAGTCCGAGATCTCTTAAAGGAAAGAAGAATTATGCCGACTAATGATCCTATTAATACGGTAAAACAAATTATGAAAAGATGGGGTATCAATTGGATTTTGGTTCAGAAAATATTTGCAAGGTAATTCCAAGCCACTGTCAGTTACTCCCAGGTCAGACCATGCAGACATAGGATATCAGTGCCCTTTTCCATAGAGGTCATTTATGCGTCTCTCCTCAGGAAGGCTTTGCCACTTCTGTAGAAAACAGATATCCTAATCTGGGTGGATCAGTGGCCACCAAATAAAGAGAAGCCAAAGCACTTACCTTAGTTAGTGCAACAACAAATCCAATTAGGGGACTTAGAACCATCTACTAGACACTAGAACTCTTCTGTGTTTATGATTCCAAAGAAATCTGGAAAGTGGAGATTATTACAAGACTTAAGAGTAGTAAATGCTGTGTAAATAGGGAAGGGTGGAAGGGGTGAAGGGCGCACAGGTAATGGGGGAAAAATAGGAAATAAGATACATCATGTACAGGTACAAGCACCCAATGATAAATGTAAATGTATTGTACACCTAAAATGTACGAATAAAAGAATGAAAAATATAAGAGTAGTAAATGCTTGTTTACAGCCAATAGAGGCTTTTACAGCCTGGTCTCCTATCTCCTGCAGCCGTTTCTCCAGAGCAGCCATTGATTGTATTGATCGTAAAGATTGTTTCTTTATGATTCCCTTACACGCACCTGATCACTAGTATTTTGCTTTCTCTGTATCCAATGTTAACTTTAAAGAACCTATGAGTAGATACCAGTTGTCAGTTTTACCTCAGGGAATGATAAACAGCCCACCCTGTGTCAGCATTTTGTAAATTAAGCCTTACAATCTGATCTAAAGAAATATCCTCAAGCTTGTATTGTTCCTTATATGGATGACATATAATGGCAACAAAAATGTAGCTGCATGCTTTGTTTGCTACAGTAAAGAGGGGCCTTAAAAGTCATGCTCTTTGCATAGCTCCTGACAAAGTACAGACCTCTAGCCCTTATCTCTACTTACGAACTTTGCTTACAAAACAGACAGTGAGACCTCAAAAAATAAAAATAAGACAGAATTGTTAATTGACTTTAAATGATTCTCAAAAATAATTGGGAAATGCTAATTGGATTTGGTCTAAAATAGGTATTGCCACATATCAATTAAAACATCCCTATCATACTTTACAAGGTGATCCTCAGATCAATTCCCCACAACAATTAACGCCTGAGGCATAGGAAGAATTACAGTTGGTAGAAACAATGTTATGGGAATGACAAGTATATCGGGGGTTAATGGTCACCAACCTCTTATTCTCTATGTTGTGGATATACCTCATTCTCCTATTGGACTCTCAGGACAATTGTATAGCTCTCAATTGTTCCCCACTGGTTGGCTATACCTTCCTAATCAGATAGTAAAATCTTTACAGTTATATACTGAACAAATGGCAAGAGTGATAGTGGCTGGGAGAACTCACTGTTATGAATTGTTTGGTAATGATCCTCCTTGGATTACATTACCCATAGAATTGTCTCAATATTCAATTTTATTACAACAAGATGTTTATTGATGGGTTGCTTTCACTGATTTTATAGGGTAAATTGATAATCATTTTCCTAGTGACTCTATCTTTCAATTATTTCTAAAACAATCTTGTATAATACTTCAGATTACACGGACTGAACCCCATTTCTGATGTACAGACTTACTTTACAGATGGTTCCTCAAAAGGAATGCACCTAAATCAATTGAGTTTATAGATTGGGGCCCCTGAGTAAAATTAGTAGGAAAAGACAATAATCATTCAGCTTGGCATACAGTCAGATGGTTAGTATATTGGAAAAAATACTTCTGTTTTATATTCTGATGCTGAAGGACAACTTGAAAGGCGTGAGTCCAATTTGAGACTTCCATTATCAAAGGCCACTGTTAATGGCAGACCCAGACCCCTTCAGGAAATATTTTGAAAACTGGCCCGTCTTTATTATAGTGGTTAGATGTGGAAAGAGCATATGGCTAAATTTACTACAAATACCCCAAACATTCTAATTCGGAAAAATGTCTACATTGTTTTCCATATGTACTTATAACCATTATGTCTTTATATATAGAACTATTGAGTGGAATTATACCTCATTAATGTACAGAGAGTATACACTGAGCCACTGTGTATCAACTGAAGCCTTAGTAATAAGACCCTGCTAGTCTTCGAATGCATGCCAGGAGTCTGGGTGCCAGTAAATCTCACCAAGCCCTGGCCCAGTACTCCTGCTATTTACCTATTGTAATCATTGACTGATTACCTTGAGCACCAAACTAAAAGGACCTTAGGATTGGTTATCGGTAGAATTGTTTCTATGGTATTATTAATTTCTAATGTTGCTGTATATTTTGCTCACTCTACACAGAATACTCATTTTGTAGACAACTGGACCAGAACTTCAGACAAGGCTTGGAATATACAACATTCTACTGGTGCAAAATTACAGTTACAAATCAGCATTTTAGAGACCACTGTTATGTGGGTGGGAGACCACATAGAAAGCCTACAATTAAACAACAGTGTCTTCAGTGTCATTTTAATAGTACTCTGTATTGTATAACTCTTCTCATGTGTAACCAATCTACCCATCCTTGGGGGCATATAAAAAGGCATATACAGGGTGTTATACATAGTAATGTGACTATTGATTTGGAGACATTGCAAAAGGAAATATTATCAATGTTTCAACAAACTCAAACTTTTGATAAACAAATTCAGGATTGAGATAAATTTGCTGATACTCTTGATCAGCTTAATCCATGGAACTGTCTTAAAGCCCGTTTTGGATTTTACATTGGCTCGATTATATTAATGTGTTTCTATCACATATTTTTGCTTATAGTCTCCTGCAGGGGAAGCCAAACCAGACACACCTAGATGCCATTCAACCACAAGTCATGCTGTTTCAACTGCTGGATTACACACACACACAAAAGAGGAACTGCTGGGAGACTAGGCTATGTAATTCAGATCTCAGTTTGGAGATTGGTATTATCTTGCCTCAGGAAGAGGGAAGTATGTGGAAGGCTGCATGTCCCCTGGCTATGGGTAGAATGCTGATAACCCAGCACTCCTGAGGCAGGACAGCATCTTCTTAAGACAATTGTCAGTATACAGGCATTTGGGTATAGAGAAAATATGATTCCTCATTAACTTCATCCTTATGCACCCATACCCTATAGTTGCTGTTCCATGAAATGTATGCTACCCTACTCCGCCGATTTCTCACTGGGTAATAAAAGTGGGTGAGCTGTGGAGTTTTACTTGAGTCTGTCAACCAGAGGCAGGTCTCCTCCTGGTCTGCCCCTTATGTCTTGAAAATCGTCTATGTCTCTTTCTTTTATTCTTCTTCACTCCCCCCAAAAGGTAGTTTAGGGTTTGATCAACCCTCGGTACACATGTTATACTTCCAGCCAAAAAGCTAAGAATACTGGGTTATTGGTACAAGAAACAGGATTAAACCAAACAAGAAATTCATGGATCACTAGAAAGTTGCATGATTCCTTTGTGCCTATGCACCTGAAACTCTGGTATGCAACATTGCCTCACACTGTTCCTATGGAAACACTCAATTCAGCTAAGAAAAAAGACTCATTTTTGTCCTATGTTTACAGATACATTGCTGTAAAGGGGGTGTGCATTTATTTATTTCCAGATATTCATTCTTATACAGAGTAAATTTTAAAAAGAAAATTACGAAGGTTGATTTTATGATAAGGCATTAGAATTAGCTATCTTGTCATATAAAACCACTGAACTGGGAAAGAAAAATAGATGACAATACTATAGGAGCAAGGGAAGTCCAGTCTAACAGCTACTCTGTGGAATTATGGTTTGTGGATGGACTTTTCAGGCCTCTATAGCTGATCCATCTTCTATTTTCAGAGAGAAAACACCTGAATTCCTGGAACTTTCCATTCACTCATACAGTGCACAATGTACTGACCATACCTGAGCAGATGACCCCTGCATCTTGCTGGTGATCGCAGAAGGCCTTGGGCCAGCCCAGAGAAGGGCACTTCCGCACATGGGTCTCTTCTCCTGTACAGTCCAGCAAATTCATCAAAATGGGCCCTGATCCAGGCCCAAGGTGAGCACTATGTATAATATCAAGTGCTTCTCCACATCTCAGCTGTGTGCACACCACTTGGCCATCGCTTTTTTTCCAGTAGAAATCACAGATAGTGCCCCAGGAGCCCTGGTAAAGAATCTCTACTCTTCCCGCACAGCGATGGCCCCCGTCCACCAAGCGGAGCTGAGGGCTCTCTGGGAAGAAAGAACAATGTCAATGTCTGTATTCCTAAAGGGAATTGGGTTGGTTTTCTGGTCTCTTGGGAAACACTCAACAAATAACTGGGTAGAATGCACATTCAGACTGCAGAGCCTTCTCAGCCAGACAAGGAGCCATTGCATAAGGGGAGTAGATGGTGTAGATTCCTACAAAATTGAAAATGTTCAGAAAACATTAGTATGATTGTAAAACAGAAATGGAAGTGAACTGAAAACAATCCAATAAATATTTCCAGATAGAGAGTGCTGAAACATTCCTACAAAAGATAAACTTCTCACAGGGCTCTGTATAGATTTTGAGAAACAGTATACTGGAAATGTTACAAAACTCCTGAGCCAGGGATTTAGCTCAGTGGCACCACGCCTGTCTCCAATGTGGAAGGCCCTGAGTTCAATCCCCAGTCCAAAAAAACCCACAAAAAACAAAAACAAAAAACCACCAACAACAAAAAAAACCCTATCCTGAGTAGATAGTGTATTTCACTGAGTACTTAGAGGCACTATACTTGGTCAGCACCTGAGCTGATTTCTTATAAAGCACTTTAATGTAATATACCTGGAGTTAGTGATATTAAAGCACAGGAAACGAAGTCAGGAACTTAGCTGAGCTCATCAAAATCCTCAGCCATTAAGTGTTTAAAATTAGTGGATCATGAGAGAGGCTGTGGTTTCTCTAAGAACATTTCACTTACAGGTCAAGATTTCAGATTCTAGATCTGGATACTTATTTTCAAACAATTTTCCCATTTTTGAATAGACTGGGTGACGTCAAATGAGGGAAAATGTTCAATAATGGTAACTCTGGCCAGATTTCATGAGGAATCATAGAAAGTTCATAGCTTCCACAAACATATCCATTCTCTGTTTGACTTCCTGTCAGCAGTTGTTACTATCTATACAAGACTGGAGTTTCTAATTTTCTGGTGGGAAATTAAATGTTTCTAAATCTACCTCCCATCAGAGCTAGACTATATTATTCTTGTGTAAACACTTAAAAAGATCTTGCCAGTGCCCCTCCATTAGTATCCTCTTTATACATAAAAGCAGTGGTTATGTAATATCCAATAATTTTACACGTTAAGCAAATGGTGAGATAGGAAAAAATAAACCAAGAACTTCCTCCTATGAAGAATGGAGGAGCTCACAGTAGACCAATGCTCTTATTGATTACAACTAAAAGTTTGGAAGTGTAAAATACTGAAAATATTAGATTTCTGTGGATTCACATAGCCCGAATGTGTTGAAATTCTAAAGAGTGGGTAGGGAGATAGCTGAGTGGCAGATTCTCTGCCTAGTATGGGCAAGGAAGTGGGTACAATCCCTAACACATCAAAAACAAATCAAAAATATAAAATTCCAAAGAGCGGAGATCATTTCAATTTTAGCTAACGTTTTACAGATTCTTTTACTTGAAGAGAAGTTTCCAATTTAGTTCTCCTGCCAAGGACTCAGAATCTAGGCTCCAAGCAACATGGGACTGCCATGTCTTTAGGATAAAAGAGACAGTCTGCTCTGGAGTCACATGGACCTGTATTGACAAAATTGGAGGCCTGAGGGCCTCTGTCCCAGGGCAGGTTTTCTCCTGTAATGTTTGCTTAGCATAGAAACTGTGAAAGGCAGGAGGCCAAAGTCCAGTGTCAAAGACACTGGAAAGAAGAGTAGATATTCTCTTATTCTCTTGGGTACTGGACAACCCAATCATCCTGTTTCTACAAGGAAATTCCTGAAAGGTCAGCCTAGGAAAAGAAGCAAAGCAGAGCTCAATTGGCTGCCTGAGAACTGCAACCACGTCTTGTTCCTGCTCTGCTCTAAGTTGGGTTTAAGTATTTGATTAATCATCAACTCTCTCTACAACATACATAGGAGAATCAAAGATAAATCTTTCAAGTGTTAGAAAATATATCAACTTTTACTCAAATTTCATATAGAATTTCTAGTATCCAATACAAATCAGATATTATGTACATATAATAGATCACATGACATACCAACAAAAAAAGATCAAAGGAAGCAGAAACATCCATGATAAATATGTTGGAATTAGCAGAATGGAAGTTTAAATATGAACAGTGAATTTTGGAAAAAATACATATAGGGAGAAAAATTATTTAAAAGATAGAAAAATCTTTAACACCAAATTGTTTAAAAAAATCAAAGAAACAGGTTCCAATTGACAATAAAGTGTTTAGAAGCAAAAATTACAGAGTAGGTTTAAAAACATTTTAGACAGAACTGAAGACAGAACTGCTGACTTAAAACTAAGGTTAATACAATATTTAACAATAAAAACACTGAAACTTCAAGATTTTTGGAAAGAATTTTGGCATAAGACACAACTGAGACATTAAAATGTTTAAACTAAAAAATCATGGAGGAAGGAAAAATATAGTGAGAAGTGGGATGAAAGGAGGATGAATAGCTGAGGGTGGGAGGAAGCAGGAGAGGTGTAGGTGGGGGGGGTGGATTTTTTTGTTGCCTGGGGAGTAGGAAGTGGGTGGGCTTTAAAGTACTCAGAAGTCTGTCCATAGGTCCTGACTACTCAAAGCAGCTAAGGATGATGGAACTCATTTAATGCACTCTTACAAGTCTGAATTGATCTTCTTTCCTCTCTAGTGGTCTTCCCTGGTCTTCCTGATCTAACCAGGTCTCATAGTGATGCATCAGTCGTTAGCACACTGGTGATACACTAGTTATACTATAGTCTAGTAGTATTCCAATTAGAATCAACCTTCCTCACTTTTCTTTTTACCATCTTCTTATAATTCAAAACACTTGCAAATCTTCACCCACAGGCCCTTCGTGATAGTAAGGCTGTCATCAAAAAGGCAAGAATAAGATTGCATTTTTCTCAGTGGAATTGAGTTTCTATGTACATAGCATGAGACACTGTTTTACACTAGGTTAGTAGGTGTATGGGCACAGAGGATAGGCTGCAACAAATTTACGGATTTATGTGAAGTTGAAAGACTATTATAAATTCAGACATAAGTATAGCTCTTAGGTGAGAATAAAAGAACTGTGGATGAAATGCCTGGATCATATGTTCTCCTTCTATATTTACCACAATATCTTCAATATTTTTCTTTCAAAACAAATATGCAAATTCAAACTTTGGAGAGACAATTATCCAAGTGCTAATAGATCAGTATTGGATGTAATAGAATCTTCATGTGTGCATATTATAGTAAGAGATGACATTACACATGATGTTTTTAGTGCCTTCAGAGAGGTGTGTTTAGGGACTTACTTGATGAGAATGGAAACAGAGGCAAAGAAAGAGCCACACAGGGAGAGGGAAAAAAATCTCACTCTCAGAGTCCCTGTCAAGGACGTGCCCCAGTGACACAAAATCTCCCACTAAGCTCCACCCAGTACATTTGACTTGTTCTTTCCCTGAGTCATACTCCCCTCTGTCACCCTGGATTCCAGAAATAACAAGTCTAATCAATACACAGCTTATGACAAGAGTCAAATCTAACCCAGTGGCACCAACATTTTATTACTCTAAAGGCTCTGAACAACAGAACGTTGACTATGACAGACTAGATTTAAGTAGAACAAGACAATATGATGATATATACTATTTTCTTTCTGCTCTTGTTCATTTTATATACAATCCACATCTCTTGTTAGCTCCTTGAATACAGAGCTAAGGATGCTGGTATCTGCTCTTTCCTGGTATAGATACTGTGAATAAATTTCTTTCTTGCATTCACCACTACTTTTTTTCACATTTCAGACTAAAAGCTGGGCTTACATTCATGACTTCTGTCCAAATGGTGGTCCTTTCAATGGAAATCAATCCTCCTGTTCTGATGTGAGAAACATACCTGATGTGTGTATATGTATATATATGAGGAATGTGTGAATATATGTGATATATATAGATACATATACATATATATATATGAGGAATACAAAGGAAAAGCCATTTTACCAAAGACAACTGAATGTGGATCAAATACATTAACTATATTCCATAGAAACCCCAGCTGACTCACACAGAAAAAGCTAAAGTCAACAAAAAACTCTAAATATTAGATTTTGTGAGACATAATGTCATATGTTTGCATCATAGATTATAAGATAATCACTCACTATTACTCTGGGCAAGGAATAAGATACATAGGCTGAGTACAAAGAAGATGTAACTTATCTATGCTGGCCTAAGTAACTTGGAGAATTGCTACTAAAACGAACTTTAGGTGTCTGATGTGTGTTTGGAACATGGTAACAAAAGGTCTCTTTAGAATGTACTCTTAAAGTGGCACAAATGTGTGTGATTCCCCAAGCAAAGTTTGGAAGGAATATTTCTTTCTAAGCAAAGAATGTTCTCTGTCCTTTAGATTGTTTGGTCAAATTCCATTCTCTATGGCCCCTCCCTTCCTAGAACTCTCTATTACTGTCTTACTTCTCCAATATCCTCTGTGTCTTTACATTGGTAAATGGTAATTTCAAGGCTACTAGTAAGTATTAACAAGTGTTCTTTGATGAACAAACTCATGCTGTACTCAGGCTCCAGTCACCTTTGAAAGCTAAGAAGTCCTGCCTTTGGAATTAAAGCACAGCAAGGAGCAAAGCAGAATGGTGGCTGGAGGCTGGGACATTGGCCAGGATGGCTCTGATTGGAAATGATGAACACAACGCAGGGTGTGCTTCACAGGAGCACAGCACTCATTTTTATGTAGGAGACAAGTATTTGAAGGCAATATTGAGAATTCAGTTCCATGTGTCCTGTTTCAAAATATAAACACCTTTTCAAATTTAAGAAATACCAAGAACTTTGGTAAGTGCTGAGTGTAAATCAGATAAAGTCAATGATCATGGTTTTTTTGTGTGTTGGGGGGGGCTTTATATCTTGTGGAGAAAAAACAAACAGAAACTTTTAAGTCATTTTGGAAGGTTCATCAGAGCTTTGGTTGGGCAAAGAAAGAAATATCGCCCCTGCCAAAGGCTATTGCTTTACATGAATGTCTCACACCTAAGATCAAATGAAAAGTGCAGCCAGAGGTATTTGTCTGCTCTGTGCTGCACAGACACCCTGTGTTCTTAGGCAACTGCCTCAAAATTTTCATCACTGGGATCCTCTCTTCCCTCATTCTAACCTTAACTCCTCAACCTTGAGTCCCTCTTATAATTCATTCTTCTCTACAAGTAGATGTTTCGAGTTCACACAAATGTGCACAGGACATTTTCCAGGCTACTCCTGGGACCTCAGTGCTGCTCAAAAATTCCATGTGTGCTTTTGGTAGCTCCTTTGTAAACCTTCTGCAAGTAATTTAAGCTTCTCTACCTTCTTGAACAATTTCAAGGGACTCTCATTTTCAAAATTCCCAAATTTCTCTTATTTCCCTAAAGCCATTATGGATAAACTATGTTGTCTCGTCTCATAATAAATACACAATGAAGACTCCATTGTATCCAGGAATGTGTGACCTGGCAGTATATCCAATCTTCTGGCACAAGTTGGAATTTCTATATGCATCATTTTGAAAGAAAAATATATTGACAAAGGTTTCTAATACTGATGGAGGAAGAATTTATAATTTGGGGTCTTTCATTCACAAATCTTTGACCATTCCAGCCAAAGAATGAACTCTACTGAAGCCTCATTCTAAAAAGAGACTTGCACATTTGCAGTGATATATTCATGTCTCTGTGTCCATTCGACCCTGTCCCCGTGGCTCACACCCACTCGGTGTGAAACGGTGCTTCATGTTACACACACAGAAACTTGCGATGCCACTGGGTGATGTTCAGTCTCACCCTCACCCCTCCCTCCATCAGTCTGACTGCTGCCAAAGGAGTGTGTGGTAATTTGCAGATGTTTTGAATTATGGGTTAATTATAGAAACACAAGTACATAGGTTGATTTTAATTTTAAAGACACTAGAATGGACTATCTTGTCAGATCAGACCACTGAAGTGGGAACGAACAACACTGGGGAATTCATGCTGGGAAAGCAAGAGAAGGCCATCGTCATCAGCTGCTGTGAGCACTCAGGGTCGACGGATGGGCCTCTCAGTCTACAGCCCAGCCATCTCCTCTGACCAAGATCAGACGCCCACCTCCTGGACCTCTCACTTCGCCCCACAGGGCATTAAGTATGGACCATACCTGAGCAGAAGACTCCTGCTTCCAACCACCTACTGCAGTTGTGCTGCCGCCAGCTCCAGGTCGGGCACGGCCACACATGGGTCTCCTCTCCTGTGCAGCCCAGGCCATTCAGCTGGATGGAGTCTGGTCTAATCCCAAAGATACTAGCATTTATGGGAATGGGGGCCACTCTGCAGCCCAGCTGTCTGCAAACAACACTGGCATCACTCGTGCTCCAGCCTATACCGCAGATGGTGGCCCAGGAGCCCTGGTGAAGAATCTCCACTCTTCCTGCACAGCAATGGCCCCCATCCACAAGATGGAGCTGCGGGCTCTCTGAGGAGACAGAATCATGTCAGTGCGGCATTTATACTGGAAATCAGGTTGGTTTTCTGGTCTGTTGGGAAAAACTGAGCCAAGAAGTGAGTACACGCCACACTGGGGCTGCAGAGGCTGCTGGTTTGGATATGAGACACTGCTCCAGGGCAGCAGAGGCTCTGGATTCCCACAGAAATAAAAAATGATCAGAGAGGATCAGCAAGACTGAAAAATAAGAATAGTATTAAATGCAAAATAATCTAGTGAATAGTCCCTGGTAGACGCTGTGGAGAAGATTCCACTAGAGTTAACTTTTGACTTCCAGGGTTCTGTTTAGGAAGGGAGAAAAGTATGCTGAAAATATCAGAATCCGTAACCTGAGTAGATCGTATCTTTCATGGAATGAGATCTTAGAGATGCTCTTCTGGGCCAGCACCTGAATGAGTTTCTTTAAAAACACAGAGTTTAATGTCATTCACCTGGGAGTGAGGCATATTAGAGCACAGAAATGAAGTTAGGAATTTGGCTGAGCTCATCAGAAACCAGAGGGAGCAGCCAAGAATCCAAGAAATTTGAAAATTGTTTTGGTTGATACACTCTTTCAGTGCTGGAAATGGATTGATGATTAAGAGGGGCGAACTCCAGTTCTTGATGTTTATTTTTAGGATATTCAGGCAACCTCAGATCATTGAAAATACCAAACGATATTGATACCAGCCAGATTGCATGAGAAATCATAGAGTGTTGATTGTTGTCTCAAACATATATATTATGTGCTTTCATTTTCTGTCAAATCTTGTTATTATTAAGGATTTTGGGATTCTTGTTCTTAGGGGTAAGGTACATGTTTCTAATTCGAGATCCCAACAGAGACAGATTTTATTTCCACTGTGAACACAGTTGAACAGACCATCCAGATATATGCATGTCACTATTAGTCTCTCTTTTCTGGGGGTATGTAATGTTGAATGAACAAAGCCTTCACACTGAGCTACATCCTTAATCCTTTTTATTTTTTATCTTGAACCAGAATCTCACCAACTTACTACATTATCCAGACTGGACTCAAAGTTGAGATCCTCCTGCCTCAGTATCCCAGAGTGTTGGGATTATAGGTGCCTTTTACTCCAACCTTGTTTTCATACGTGAGAGAAATAATTCAAAGAGAGTTTAAGTAACATCAGTGACTACAATATAAGCAACAGTGAAGCAGAGAATAAAAGCCTAGATTTCTGTTCCCATGGAGAATGATGGAGCCAGCCATTAATCATGCTTCTACTGGGTCCAATCTAAAAAGTCAGAAATACAAAAATATTAAAGGTATTTGACATTTGTGGACACAGCAGAGAATGAATATGATAAACTTTCAGAGTGGGATCTTTTCACTGTTTAATCAAAGTTCTACTGTTTCTTGTCCTCTAAGAGATTTTCCTGACCCAATGGATGGGCGAATGGTACACAATCTGGTTTTATCCAGGAGGGGACTGCTGTTGGGACACAGAAGCCAGCCTTATTAAACTTAGCTGCACTGACAAATATGGAGAACTGAGAGCCTCTCTCACATGTCCAGTTTCTCCTTAACTGTGCACTGTATTTGCTTTGAAGTGCAGAGGTTCAAAGAGCTATTTCCAAGACCTTGGAAAGCAGAGTGGATATATTGATATTCTCTTGGGTGATGAGCAACCCATCTCTCCACTAAAATACCTGAAATCCCAGGCCACAGAAGCTGAGGCAGTGGAGAGTTTGATAAAAGACTGTTTCTAAACTGAGTCCAGACTTACTCCAGCTTAGTTATAGGTTGGGTTTAGGTACTTGGGTTATCAGACCTCTCTCCAGTCTCTTAGAACAAAAGAGAAAGTCTTTCAATTATAACAAAATAAGTCTAAAGTGACTCATTATTTCATATAGAGACATAGCATTCAGTAAACTACACATCATATGTGAAGAGATGTCATTACATTACAAAGTAACAAAATAAAAAATAGCAAAAAGGCAGATAAAGGTGTTGGATTTGCAGGTGAGGATCATGTGAACAATTTATTTACATATAGAGGAATATTAATATTACTTAAAATGATGGCATGGAAATATGTTTGGGAAAATGCTCAAACATTCATCATTGGATTTGATAAAGAGAGGAAATCCAAGTGAGAAGGAAAAGAAGAGAAAGATTGCAGTAAAAGCAATATTTGAAAAGATAATGTGTAAGAATTTTCTAAAATGGATTAAATGTGTTAACTCACATATATAAAAATTCCCAATGCTAAGTTAAGCTGTTAAAAATCAAAAAAATGAGACCAGTGTGAATTAATAACAATATTAATAATATACAGGTGAAAAAGGAGAAAAAAAGAACAAAAAGAAGTGGATCAATTGAAAGCAACTGGTAGATATCAAAGCAATGATATCTGTAATTGTACCTACAGTAAGTAGATTAGATAACCTTAATAAAAGCCAGTCTAAGAAAAAGAACCAAATTTAACTATATACTGCTTGAAATATATCTTAAATACAGGGGCAAAGAAAGGGTGAAATAAAGTAATAAATAAAACATTTTATGTAAACACTAACTGTAAGAAAACTAGGGCCAGGGATTTAGCTCAGTGGTGCTGCTCCTGCTCCACGAGAGCAAGATCCTGAGTTCAGTCCCTCGTACCGGGAAAAAAAGTTACACAGATCACATGTAAATATTTATAAAAAATTACATGGATCATACATGTAAATATTAAAGGAAGAGTTAGAAACTGAGTTTAAAGGGATTTTTTATTATAATTGGGCAATTCATTTAAAAAGTTTCAGCTATAAAAATCCAAAAGATTTCAAAACATAATTCCAACAAGTAGAGCAATAATTGACGCAATGAAAAGAAAAACAACTGGGCCTGATGATGCACACCTATAATCACAGTACTTAAGTGGCTGGAGCTAGAGGACTGCTGCAAGTTAAGTCCAGTCTGGGCTGCACAGTAAGTTCGAGACTAGCCTGAACTATATATTGAGACCCTGTGTTCAAACAAACAAACAAACAAGCAAAAATTCACAGTAAGAGTGGGGAATTTTACCATAATTCTTTGAATAGCAGGTGGATAAAGCATATGTAAAGAAGGAAAAATTTAGATGTAAAAAGAGCTCAAGCAACACAACTATATTTAAAAAGAAGTCAACAATGAAAGATTGGACTGCCACAAAAATGTGGCAGATTAACAGACCCTAGAGGATAAACACAAGCTTGGAATCACAAAGAAATTTCTATTTTTTTCCCCTTCTCTTTGCTTCAAAAGAAATTTTTTTTTCATTTGGGGTTTTTTAAATTGTTTTGGTTTTTCATGAGGGTGAACATTGTTTTTAGTTCTTGGTTTTGTTTTGTTCTTGTTTATTCTTTCTTTCCTTCCTGTCTTATTCTCCAGTATCCTGAGACTTGGGTAGTTTTCCTTTGTCCTTCATCCTTGCATCTAATCACTTTGTCCTTTTTTATTTCTCTATTTTCATCTATTCTTTTTAAATTTTCTCCACTTCAGATAAAATTGCTCTATTGAGTGAACATTTACGGTACATAGTTTTTTGATTTTTCTTTTGTTTTGTTATATAACTATAAGTCTTGTACGCATGGTGAAAGGTAGCAAATTATTAGTTATCACAGTTTGGCCTTACTCATTCTGTGACTGATGCTGTTGTTATTACTGCTTGTACTACTTTGGCCAAGGGGACATAGTTGTTATGATCAGTTGATTCTTCTTATGTCCAAACCTATATCTTCTGGGCATCACAAACAATACTACAATTCAGTATCAAAGAACTGGGTGCTAGGGCAAACAGGCTGCAAATTTTCAATCCTAATAAATTGAAGAGGCAGGATTCCAAGACAGAATCAAAAGCCAAAAACCAGCTATGCCTAAAAGACTACTCTGAAAAGTAGTCATTTCCCAAAGAGGTCTCGATTTCAATAATAAAGCTACATATTATAAGCAATTTACAAGCCCTAGTGCAGAAAACAAAACAAAACAAAATACACAATGAGATAATACAGATGCAAGATATAACCCACAACTCACTCAAGACAAATCCAGGGGACAGTGAGGTGGGAGGATTCAAAAGCCCCCCCAGCTGAATTTTCTGAAATGGTAGCAGTGAGAGGAATAAAACAGATGAATAAATCTCTTGATAAAAACAAAACAAAAATAATTACACAGGTAATTAAAGAGATGATGACCATAATGAAGGAAATGGTTAAAATCTAGAGTAGGTACAGATTAAAAAAAAAAAATAGAGAAGCTTAGGACAGACATGCAAACCAAAAATTCCCAACATAGAAAAGAACTAGATTCCATAAAATAAACTCTAATAGAAATTCAGGAGATTAAAAATTCTATTGAAAGTATATGCAGCAGAATCAACCATTATGAAGACAGAATATCAGATCTAGAAGATGGGGCTATAGCTGGAATTCATCAAATGAAAAACATCTTAAAAATAGTAAAGGATCATGAAAAATTAATCCAATAGCTGTTAACTTATTCAAAGAAGACTAATATAGGATTAATTGGAATCAAGAAACAATAAGAAGATAGCACAACAAATATAAAAAACCTGTTTACAGAATAGCAGAAAACTTTCCAAGCATAGAAAAAGAATTTGATATACAGATAAATGAGGGATATAGAACACCAATTAGCCATGATCAGAAAAAAACTATACCAAGGCATATAATATTCAAGATTGCAGAAAATCAACATGAGCACAAAATATTAAAAGCTGAATATTAAAACCTGTTAGAGAAAACAAACTAATCAAGTATAGATGAAAAATCATCAGAATCACAGCAGAGTTCTCAACACAAACCCTTAAGTGAAGAAAAGCTTGGAGTGATGTGTTTCAAGCCCTAAAGAAAACAGCTTCCAACCCAGACTCGTGTACCCCACAAAATTATCTTTCAGTATTGATCAAGATATGACACTTCCACGATAAAGAACACTTAAAGAAATTCATGACCACCAAACCAGCATTACAAAAGTTCTGAAGGACACTACAGAAAAAGACAATGAATGCAACAATTCCATGAATCTCAATAGAATAAATCCACCAGGTGAAGCAAGCAATTAAATAGAAGAGAAACTAAGGGAACTAACAACAAGAAAGAAATATAACGACAAGTATAGGTCAATACATATCAGTTATAACTATCAATATTAATGGGCTCAATTCACCAATCAATAGAAACACATTGGTAGAATGGATCAAGACAATATGCTGCATACAAGAAACACATTTTACTCAAAAAAGAAATAATAGACTGAAAGCCAAAGGATGGAAAACAATACTCCTTGTGACAAAAACCTGGAATAAAGCAAAGGTAGCTATTCTATTTGTAGACAAAGTGGATTTCAAGCCAGGAATGATCTGTACAGAAAAAGGTCACTTTATACTTGTTAAGGGAACAATCCAAGAAGAAGAGATAACAATCATAAATATTTATGCATCACATACCAGCACCTCCAACTATATGGAACAAAAACAATGGATACAAAACATCAGATGAGCACTAATACAATTATAATGGGGGACCTCAGTAGCCCACTACATTGAGAGAAAAAAATCAACAAATGAGTATCAGAGCTGAACCAAACCTCTGAACAAAAGGACTTAGTAAATATACAGAGTGTTCCAGCCTACAACAATAGAAAAGTATTCTTCCCTGCTGCACATGGGAGTTTCTCCAAATTAGAAAGTCCTGAGTTTGATCCCTGGTACCAAAAACAAAAACAAACAAACAAACAAGAAAGGAAACAAATTACCTAAATCCACACAATTTGCAATAGAAAGGGGAAAATCAAAATGGAACCTACATAAATCCAGAGGATCATCAGTACCTAATGTGAGAACCTGTATTCTAATAAAATGGACAGCTTAGGAGAAAGGGGCAAATTATTAGATACATATGAATTGCCAAACTTGAATCAAGAAGATATAAAAATTCTAAATAACCCAATATCTATCAAGGAAATTGAAGAAGTAATAAAAAATTACCAGTAAAGAAAAGCCAGGTACTCATGTATTCACTGTTGAATTCTACAAGATCTTTAGAGAAGACCTAATGCACCTACTCCTCAAGCTCTTTAATGAAAGTGAAAGGGAATAAACACTCTCAAATTTATTCATGGAAGCAAGCAGTACCATGACACCAAAACCTAAGTAGGATACAATAAAAAAAGAGAACTACAGGCCAATCTCCTTAATGAACATAGATACAAAAATCCTCAATAAGATAATGACAAACAATGCATCTAATCGTCAAAAAGATCATATACCATATCCAACTAGGATTCATCCCAGGGATGCAGGGATGGTTCAACATTCACAATCAACAAATGTAGTACACCACATTGAAAGAACCAAGGACAAAAATCTACATGATCTTGCACAAAAAGAATTTGCAAAGTCCAACACTGTATTCATGTTAAAATCCCTATAGAAAATGAGATTAGAAGGTCTTTATCTCAATCCAATAAAGGCCATCTGTGGCAAACCAACAGCCAACATCATACTAAATGGTCAAAAACTGAATGCTTTCACCTTAAAGTCTGGAACAAGATAAGGATGGTCACGATTACCACTCTTGTTCAATATAGTTCTGGAAATATAAGTCAGAGAAATTAGATAAGAGAAAGAAATAAAAGGAAAAAGGACAAGAAAGGAAAAAGTTAAATTATCATTATTTGTGGATGACATGATACTCCACATAGACCTCAATAACTCCACCAAAAGACTCCTAGAATTAATCACCAAATTCAGTAGCATAGCAGGTTACAAAATCAACACTCAAAAATGAATCAATACTCAACAATCAGTAACATTCCTTTCAGTTTGTCACACCAGTGCCAGAGACCCCTGTCGTCAGGTCCCAGTATACAATGCAGGCCTGAGGAAAAAAAAATACACTGAGACATATCTAAGAGAGAAAAAGTGGGGAGCCAGGATGACCAATGCTGGTGCAACTGACAACGGCCCTTGACAGTCCCAGGCACTGACTTTTATTGGCAAACAATTGGGGTAAAGGCAAGCTACTAGTGTTTTTTATGGAAATTAATGTAAACAAGAGTCATAAAGGACAAGACAAAGCATTTTTGAATTAGGAACAGAATAGACAAAATATACGGGTGTAACTAGAACATTGTCCTTCTAGTCAGAAGGTTTTAGTTGTGGGAACAGAATTTGGGTGCGAGCTACTCTGACCTTGGCACATAGGCTTCAGCCACACTCACTTCTACAAACAAGCGAATTATGGGGTTAACTCTTCACTGCCTGTCTTGGGCATAATCAATACTACAGTCCTCTGCAACCAGAGAGACAATTCGGTATTTACACATGTGTGTCCTATTTATTTCACTTAAGAGTATGGCTTCAATATGCATTCATTTAGCTATAAATGTCTTTACATGTCTAAAATGTCTCTAGTTTAATCATTTTTTTTTTTTTAGTTTTACCATTCTTTACAGATGAGTAGTACTTCATTTTATACAAAAACCACATCTTTATCCAGTCACGGGCATTTGGGTTGTGTATCAATAAAGTTCATTTAAAAAAAATCAGTAACAGGCTGGGAACTTAGCTCAGTGGTTCTGCCACTTGCCTCGCAAGCGCAAGGTCCTAAGTTCGATACGCAGAACCACAAAAATAAAAAATAAAATAAAATTTTAAAAAATCAGCAGTTGTTAACTTGCTCCTAAATAATCATATCCCTCAGTTTGTGCTTCCTACCTCTATCAAATCAGACAACTGGCAAGCTTTCATTAGTCAAATTACCTAGGAGATGTTCAAGTCACTCAGTATACAATGGAACCTTCACTCTCCTTACCAGACTCAGTCATCTGCAAAGGTAGAATGGACTAATGGCCTTCTTAAGACTCACCTTACTAGGCTCACGCTTCAACTCCATTAGGATTGGATTTCCCTACTGTCATTTACATCAGCTCCATTCCCAGCATACAGTCCATTTTAGCTTTTATATGGCCTCATCTTTTTACTTGGGCCACATTTCAGCTGAGAATGTAATCCCATTGGAGACTACCTCCCTGTCCTACTGCAGGTCCAAAAAGACATAGGACACACTGCTAACATTTTCCTGACTTTTCCTAACATGCAGTCTCACAGGAATAGTCAGGTTGGGCTCCCTTTGGCAGCACATATACTAAAATTGGAATGATACAGAGAAGATTAGCATGGCCTCTGTGCAAGGATGACACGCAAATTCGTGAAGCGTTCCATATTTTTGACATTGTGTACACATGCGAGGATTACCTTACCGAGCTACTGAGAACGACATCTATAATTTTTTTTCACCGCTCAACCCTGTGAGAGTACACACTGAGATTGGTCCTGATGGGAGAGTAACTGGTGAAGCAGATGTTGAATTTGCAACTCACAAAGATGCTGTTGCAGCTATGTCAAAAGATAAAGCAAATATGCAACACAGATATGTAGAACTCTTCTTGAATTCTACAGCAGGAGCAAGTGGTGGTGCTTAGGGTAGCCAAATGATGGGAGGCATGGGCTTGTCAAACCAGTCCAGTTACGGTGGCCCAGCCAGCCAGCAGCTGAGGGGTGGCTACGGAGGTGGCTATGGCGGCCAGACCAGCATGAGCGGATATGACCAAGTTTTAGAGGAAAACTCCAGTGATTTTTCAATCAAACATTGCATAGGCAGCCAAGGAGCAGTGAACAGCAGCTACTACAGTAGTGGAAGCCGAGCATCTATGGGTGTGAACAGAATGGGAGGGGTGTCTAGCATGTCCAGTATGAGTGGTGGGTGGGGAATGTAATTGATCCTGATCACTGACTCTTGGTCAACTTTTTTTAAAGGAAAAAACAAATCTTAGTTTAACAGTTTTTGCAATCCAAGATTGAAATTTATGATAACTCCTTTCAGGAAATGAGGATTGTTAAAGACTCAAGGTTCAGTATTTTTGAACACAAGTTATCCAGGATGTAACATCAAGATTAAGTAAACTATAACTGTTAAACACTTTTCAGCTTTTCTCAAAGTAGTTACACTGTAGGATGTACTTAAACAGTAAGCACATTTAGGTTAAAGCAGCTGAATTACGTTAAATGTTGCTCTTATACCGTATCACATGGAACACTGTTGGGAAGCATGTTGAAAGACATGCTGTTTTGTAAAATTCAATATAGGAGCTGTGTCTAAAATTACAGTGAAACATTTGGCATGTTTGTTAATTCTAGTTTCATTTAATAACCTGTAAGGCACGTAAGTTTAAGCTTTTTTATTTTTTAAGTTAATGGGGAAATTGAGACGCAATACCAATCAATACCTTAGGATTTGCTCTTGGTGTTTGTATGAAATTCTGAGGCCTTGATGTAAATCTCATTGTGATTTCCTTTCAGGTGTATTGCGCTTAAGTGAAACTTGTCAAATCTTTTACAAACTGAAAAAAAGAAAAAAGAATAGTCAGGTTAATAAATGGGTTTTAATAAAAGACTTAAATCCCCAGTCCATTCAGCCTAAGTGGAGAGAACCCTTCCTGGTTGTCTACAATACCCCAATGGCTCTTAGTCCATGGGACCCTCCTCAGTGGATTCAACAATCTAGGGTGAAACTGTGCCCACCTGACAACTTGCCTGACTCCTCCTTGTGGAAATCACAAATCTCCCCTACTTCCTTCAGGCTGACCCTAATTCCGGAAGATATATAAATGCCTTGCTTTTCTGTGTTTTGTCATTTTATTTACTTTCTTCACTCAGTCTGCTTTGATATTACTTGATTTCACCCTCATACCTCCATTCTCAAGTCCTATCTTACCTGGATAGAGGATCTTTTTTTTTCCAGGGCACTCTGTATGACTTCTCCTCAGAGGAGATAGAATTTTGTTTTCCTTCCTTCTTGACCTCCTCCTGTACAATGATTGATAGTAAGGACATTAAACATTCTGTTTAGAACTCCAACTCAAATTTCTTTTGTCTCAGGGATGGATTCATTTCTCATGCTCATTCTCATCATTGTCGTCCTAGGTAAACATCTCCCTTCTCCCTCCCTATGCCATTTGACTCAACCTTCCTCTTTATTTTTCCTCTGGGCACCACAATTGTACCCCCATGGCTTCTCCTGGAAGTTCCCAATTATCTCCACAATACTCTAAAGTTAACACATTCCCTGCTGAACTAGTCTAATCTGTCCTTAGCCAAAGACTGCTGGCTCTGTATTTCCATGTCTACAGCCATCTGTTTGGCTATCCTGGTTCCTCCCCAGGTCTGGACCCTTACAAATCTTACATATCACCCCAAAAATGAAATGAAAGGCCCACTCCAACTCCTCAACATAACATCTTTAGCCACTTTTCCCATCATTGACAAGACAAAAAACTTTCAGTGAAGACATGGGGCACTACTCCTCCAGTTGTATTTCTGTAATGCCTTTACATATGAGAGCTCTACTAAGGCCACATATGGCCCCGTAACCACTGATACTACTGACCTCCAAGCCACCATTTGCATTCAGGGTAATCTGTTCTCTGGTATATCACTAGGACATCTATTCCCCATCAATGTAACTACATGTTACCGGCCTCAGGTGACCATGACAGTTATCAGGTTACTTAAGGTTACTCAGGATGCCCCATTCACTCAACTTGTCCATTTTTCTGGCCCTCTCAAAGTTAGGACAACAACACTGCTAAATAAATAGTCAGGATTCTCAAAGGCCACCATTTTTCATGAATGACCATATACCTATGGGTCCCTCATTATGAATCGCACACTTCCTCTTGCCTACCTTTAATCACTCCTCACAATGGCTTCTAATAAACACCAAAAGATTCTTCCTTCAATGGGAAAACAGGACAATAGGTACCAATAAAGTCCCCCACAAGGGACCCCTTCCAGCTCCTAACAGGTTCTGTCCTGGCAGGCATCTGGGAAAGCAAAAACTAAGAGTTTACCCACCTCTAACATTGACAACCAACTCTGCTTACCCAGCCAAGGTGTCTTTATCCTTTGTGGGACTTCCAACTACCTGTGCCTCCATAATTGAACATAATTGAACCAGCACCTGCACACTGACCTACCTCACCCAAAAAGAGACATTGCCCTGGGAAACCAGAGCCTGGCTGTTGCTGTTAAGAGCCCAGGTCTGACAACATAGAGCCATACATTTAATGCCCTTCCTTGTCAGTATGGGCATCTCTGCTGCTGCAAGGACTGGCATAGCAGGTTTAACTATTTCCCTGACCCAGTATCACTCCCTCCTTCCAAGATCTTTCTGACAGCCTCAAGGAAATAGCTGACTCCATTCTCTCACCTTATAGAAACAGATATGACTCTCTGGCTGAAGTAACTCTACAGAATCATCAAGACTTAGATCTTCTGACTGCGGAGAGAGGCAGGTTATGCCTTTTTCTAGAGAGAGTGTTGTTTTTTATTCCAGTTAGTCAGGCACAGTGTGAGATGCCTCTACAAGACTGACCTAAAAGGCCTCTGAAATTAGACAACATCTCTCTGACTTGAGCTAATATTTGGGGCTGGGCCACATGGTTTCTTCCATTAACTGGACCTCTTGCCTGTATCATCTCCTCCTTAGCTACACTGGTGTAATCTTTACAGTATCCTTTATGATCATTTTAACACCTATGTAATTTATAGTGGTATATATTCTCACTAATAATTTATATTTCCTTTTTAAATCTTTTATCAGTCTTGCTGAAATTTTAAA